ATGGGGATGATGCAATGGCTGGAACTTCAAGGAGTGGTTGTAACTACCACTCATTCAATGTCATCACAACTTTGAGTGTTTGCCGAACACGTGATAGGTAGCAAAGATTATTTATATGCTCTTCTTGAAACACTTAGTTAAAAAATACCTGGCATCTGACTGAGGTCCTTTATATAAGCAATATTGATAATCCCTCTTTAGTGCTACACTTGATTTACTAAATGGAACTGCAGATGGTAGTTTGAGGTGCTTCATCCATTTCATTGATAAGATTGAGTGGCACATTAACTTAAGGGTCATGGTCTCTGATGAGGTGCAGATTAATTCTTCAGCAGGATCAATCCTGAGGCTGTGGCATCTCAAAGTCCCATTAGCATGAAAAAAAAAACATTGATTGATAAGTGCCTGAAACAGTTTTACTAAAACGAATGTGGAAAATATACATAATATATTTACCATACTCTATTTTATATAAGAACATTGCCATTTGTACTGAAATCAAGTTAGAGGAGTAGAACATGCAATCTATTGTGTATTCTGCAGTTCTTTTTTTTTGGACCTTTTCTAGAAATAGCAAAAAGTCTGTATGCAGGCTAAGAAGGGATAGATGGAAAGAAGGAAGGAAAGAGGAAGGAAGGGAGGGATTTTAGTATATTTTTATTATAGTCAGTGCCTCACATTGGAAGGAAGAAAGATTCTATACACTGTTTTGTTTTGTTTGGTTTAATTCTGTATTGGAAACAATTTGTGTTTGTACAGAAAATATACACCCTCACTACATAAACAGTATTCCAAAAAATGGCAAATACAAGGTTCATTTTATGTCTATCATCAAACAATAAAGAAGACTGCTTCTTTAAAATGCCCTAATCATTTTTTGAACTTGAGTTCACGATGTAGGAAAAATATACAAATCCTAGGACAGCCATAAACAGGAAGTTTGTGAAATTAGAATAGGCTGTGATGGAAAGTGATGAAGGAGACCATGTCATCTAGTGTACTAAATGTTTCATGTGAATGTGAGAAAACAGATTGGGGAATTTATAATTTGTATCTCTATCCTGACATTCTCCAGATACTGTGGGCTGCAACTTTTTAGGATTTCCACACAAATTACTAAAAACTGATATATCAGAATGAAAGATACAACATAATTTTGCTATGTGAGTAAATATTGAAATATAGGAAGCTGTGATGTGTTATAAGTATTATCATGGGTAGATGAAGATACTTTTTTGTGTTGTTAGTACATTAGTGGCAAATTAGAGAAACACATATATGCTTTAAGAACTTCTTTCAAGGCAAATGATTTTTATATGTATTACTTTCCCTCTTCATACACCAATATGTGAAGAATAAGAAAGGCTACTTTAAGGCAGACATTTTAGCAACAATTTTCTCTGCCTTGAAAAATGTGTTCTCAATTTGGAATAGGATTGGCAATCTGAATGACTGTCAAACTACTATCAGATATTTGCAGTAATCATCCAGCCATTTCAATCTTCTTTAATATTATATAGTAAAATAAAAACAAATGCCCTAGATAAATTCATGTCAATTCTTTATGATTGATTAGCATCTTCATGGTAATTGACACAATGAGAAGTGCTCTTAAAAGTCTATTAGAGTTCTTCGATTGCTGAAAAATCAAAGCTTTAATCTCAACTCTTTTGAACACTTTATAAATAATGTGGAAAATTAAAAATTAAGTCTGAAAAATGATACTAAATGATTCTTTAGAAGTAAGGGAGAGTAAATGGCTGTGAAAGTAAATGGAAATGGTAACTTTCCACTTGGATAAAAATATATCCTGATATTTTTCAATTTGCAAAGAAAAAGATAATATGGATATTTTAATTCTAATAACATTGGAATTGTCAAGAAATGCTTTCTGTTGGTTTTCAGCAGATATTTGTGTTGGTTTGCTATTCTTTGAAGAAGAAATATTGCCAGATTGTACTTGCCAGATAATATTGCCAGTGGAAATTTACAATTCTCAGTCATGTAATTTCAAAGCATTACTACTTGGCAGCTACAAATTAGATCTGATCAGTTTCCTGTTATATACTTCAGGTGTTAATTTATTTAGTAATGTTAAAATATCACCAATTATTGCTGTTTTGAGTTAGCACTGTATTTTTTATCAATATTCTTATTTCTCGTTTCATTGTTAGACATAGTATTTTTAGTATTTCACACTCATTTAGCTCCATCTTTTACTCTTTCTCTCATGTACGTAAACAAATTTACTGAAAATAACATGCTTGATGAAATGGGCTCTAATCCATGAAAATATATGCCATTAAGAAGCTCATTTTGTTCAAATTTGTAATAAGCAGAGATAATTGCCCTGAATTTCAATTTTATTCTTTGTGTGAATTTTTCAGAAAAAATATTTTCTGGTATTCCAAACCAAGAGGAACAGTCCATATACAGAAGAAGTTTTCTCATTACATGCCTGTGCAAAGCACTCCTTTGTTCGCACTATTTTGCACAAAGTTTCCTGACACAGGTCAAATAGCCCAAAACCTTTTTTTTTTTTTTTTTGCACTTCTGACAGCCATTGAAAGAACAGAAGATATTTCAGCAGCTGCAAAACCCAAGGGAAAAAAGCTAATGGAACTGTCCCTTGAAGCTCCAAGTGATAATAAAACTCTTCATAAAGGAAAATTAAATCAGTTATGTACCTTAATGTGGAAAAAAAATGTTATCCAGCTGCTTCACACTCTCCTAGTTAGCACTTGCTCCTTTCTTAAAGTTATGCTAGTTCCAGGCTTCATTGAAAAAAAAATCACTGATGTATAACAGTACATATATGGGAGATATACATGTAACATAAAATCAGTCTACATCATGGGTGTCAAACTTGATCGCATCACGTGATGTATCATGATGTATCATGATGTTATTTGCCTTTGCAGAGCTGGGGTGGGCATGGCCTATGTATGACATATCTGGTCCATGGGCCACCAGTTTGACACCCCTGGTCTACATAATAATTATGCCATGGGAAATTGACATCATATATGCAATTTCTACTCGTTCAGTTTCCTTGGGAACTGAGATGTAGATTTATATGAAGTATAGCAATGAGATGGTTCAATCTTATGTCTGCAGTTCAAGATTTTCTTATACAAACATTCTTCATGGAACAATAGTTTGTGATAGCACTCATTTACAGCTTCACCCATTTATGTATGACATGTATTGGATTAATAAGTGATATATCACCAAGTGTTTTTTTGTTTGTTTGTTTTCTGAGTTCTTTGTGAGATTGTTCACTGAGAAATAGAAGACAGCAGTGTTTCTCAAATCTTGGCAACTTTCAGATGTGTGGACTTCAATTCCCAGAATTCCCCAGCCAGCATGCTGGGAGTTGAAGTTCACACATCTGAAAGTTGCCAAGTTGAGTAACAATGGAAATCAGTATTTAATCAGGGGTCAAATGACAGAGATGGTTTAATCAGTATAGTACATCAACTGAAGTGTTTTGCTCTCAACCGGCATATTCTGGAGATCATTAAAAATAACACTTTAATCTTTTGTAAGAGGGGCACACCTTTATTCCTGACAATGCCTGGATAAGATCCTGCTATTTTCTTGGCAAGATTTTAGAAGTGATTTGCTGTGGTTTGCCATGGACTAGGGCTGAGTGAGATGTTGATCCGAAGCCACCCAGCTGGCTTTGTGCCTCATGCAGGACTAAAACTCAAGGTCTCCCTGTTTTCACGTCAGCAAACTGTCCTAGGTGTATATTTTTATCCAGTGTCTGGAGTCTGAATAAAAGTTGCTGAAGTTATACCCTAACAATACAATGTTACTTTTTTGCCCAGAAACTATTTAGTTCTGTATCTGCTCTAGTTTTAACTCTGAATGGAGTGGGGTTTTCCCAAAGGAACAAGAGCATAATTTCCAAGTCATAATAGAACCACATCTATTGCTATATTTGCCAATTGTGGCCAGCAGGTATCTTTGCCAACCTTGGATGGTGTACCAATTGCAGCCCTATCTTGAGTGGGAGACTCTGGCAACTATAACTCATGTCCTTATCATCCTACAACAGGGTTTGGCAACTATGGCCCTTCATGACTTGTGGACATCAATTTCCAGAATTCCTGAGCCAGTCATGTTGGCTCAGGAATTCTGGGAGTTGAAGTCCATGAGTTATAAAAGAGCCAGGGTGCCTACCCCTGTCCTAAACCATATTATTACTTAATAGCTTAAATCTCTTTGATATTGACTTGCCCATTAGAACTGCTTATGAAAGAATCTTAATTCTTCTGGGTAATAACCTTGCATCTCTTTGAAAAATATAAATTGTTTTCCCTTCTCCATTTTTCTTTTCCACCCTAAGCATTTTGCATTTTTCAATATATCCTTACAGGGCTTTTCATATTAGCAGATTTATTTATTAGATTACAAGTTTGTCTGACTTCAAAGACTTTGGATGGCTTACAATTTCAACATCAAAGAATACATTTAAAAAATGAACACGTAGAGCCCCTTAACAAGCCAAAAGCAAATTGCCAGGTATTCCACAAGCAATCCCACCTAATCCTGGACCTGAGAACAGATTTACCATTTGAAGAGCAGGCTCTCTCTCTCCCCCCACTCCCCACCCCGGTCTCTCTTGGGGGCCGTTGTTCCAGGGGGCAGGTTCATGGCTCTCAGAGGATTTTCATGATCTGAAAAAATATGATTGTATTAAGGCAGGCTCAGATGAATTGATATATTTTTGTAGCCCTATCACATTGCTGATTCATGTTCGCTTTATGGTCAACAATTTATGACTGGATTGCACAGTAAAATAACTTAGTAGCTAACCATGTTGTCCTTTGAAGTCTTGGGCTTCTCACTGTAATCTTGGTCCAGAAAGAAGAATATCTTTATCTTATTGTCTGTTTTTAGGATCAGGGTGAAGTAATGATAGAGCAATTGCTTTGAAGTCCATGCAGAATGTCATTTAAATTCTATCAATTATTATTTTTTCCTTTATATAGAAATAGAGAAAGGTGGCTGTGGTGATCCTGGAGTTCCATCTTATGGGAAGAGGACTGGGAATAGTTTCCTTCACGGAGATTCTCTTACTTTTGAATGTCAGGCAGCATTTGAACTTGTGGGAGAGAGAATGATCACATGTCAGCAGAACAATCAGTGGTCTGGCAATAAACCCAGTTGTGTTTGTAAGTCGTCATCTGTTTTCTTATCACTATATTGATCTCTGTCTGTAATTTACAGTCATTTGCAGCAATGCTTGGAATATCCCCTTCACCTGGAATGCTGGCTTTTGGGATATACTCATTTACTCTACTATTTAACTATTCATGTTCTTTTCTCCTTTTACAAATAGAGTTTGATTTAATTAAAATAGCTTCTTAAATAAAATATGTGAGAATAAACTTGTCCTTTAAGTAGGAGAGGAGAAAAAATAATTAGGTTTGCATTGTAATTAAAGCTTGCCTGCACTGTATTGTATTTCAAACCACAATCCAATTACATAAAGATATTTGGATGTATTTCAGTTGTGTCATTGTTTCACATTAAAAAAAACTCTACAAGTTAATCTTAATACACAAATGATCATCCTTATCTATAAGACATCTAAAAGTTTACTGAGAGAGGATTATATTCCATAATGGCTTTATTTCAAATTTAATGATGTTGCATACATTATTGATTAAGAAATCACATTACATAATGCAGACCATAAGATAAAAATTGAGTTGATTGTAATGTGTTTTTCATAATCAAATATTTGCTATTCATATTAACTTTGGGTGCTATTAGATGGTAACTTGTGCTTTTTCATAGAGTTATCAATTGCTACTGTTCTTGATTATCACGTTCAATGACAGTTGCAGCATGACTAAGAAAACATGGAAAGATAGCTTTCACTCTCCTGCCTATAAAGTATTTTAAACTTCTTGAATGCCCCTGATTGTTAGGATTTTTTCTTATACTGTTTGAGATATAATTCATCACTTGCCATCAGATCCTATGAACACTGTAGCTATTTGTCACAAGAAAAATGACATTAATTTCTTCCTTTAGTCAGCATAAAAGCAAAACTTATACAAAGGAAACTTTAACATTTAAAGTCATACAGGTAGTCCTTGACGTATGACCATAACTGACCCCCAAATTTCCATTGCTAAGCAAGACAGTTGTTAAGGGAGTTTTGCCCCATTTTACGACTTTTCTTGCCACAGTTATTAACTAAATCACTGCATTTGTTAAGCTAGTAACAGGATTGAAAAGTGAATCTGGCTTCCCCATTGATTTTGCTTGTCAGAAGGTCGCAAAAGGTGGGCACGTGACCCCGGGACACTGCCATCATCATAAATACAGGCCAGTTGCCAAGGGTCCAAATTTTGATCATGTGACCAGGGGGATGCTGCACTAGTCATCAGTGTGAAAAATGGTCATAAGTCACTTTTTTCAGGGCCATTGTAACTTCAAGCGGTCACTAAATGAATGGTTGTAAGTCAAGAATTGCCTGTGTTGATAAGATCATATCCAATGGCAGTAGAAGATGTCAAAGTCAAGATATCAGTAGCAACTGGGTAGTCAAACCACAATCCCTTTATATGTGTGCATTTGTTGTGGGCTCCTGAGCTGCTTTAAGAAAATCATTCCAAAGTCGATAATGAAGTAAGCCAACATGATGACTTTAGGGGAGACTCCAACGCCAAATAGCAATAGCACTTAGACTTGTATGCTGCTTCACAGTGCTTTACAGCTCTCTCTAAGCGGTTTACAGAGTCAGCATATTACCCCTAACTATTTTGGTCCTCATTTTACCGACCTCGGAAGGATGGAAGGCTGAATCAATCTGTTATCAGTTCAGTGAGATATTCTATTAAGTACCAGGAAAGGTAATATATTAATATATCCATATTGTTTAGTAATCTAAGAAATAGAAGGCTTGGTATCAGCCAGCCAGCAGTCAGTGTATTCTTGATATCATCCCTGAGATACATTCTTTCAGTATGAATCAATCTCCAATAGTCCCTTGGTAAGAGAGAAGCTGTTTTTAATGCATCATGGCCACCTAACTTTCTTACGTTCTCTGTAGGTAGATAGTGTGTATATCAGTCCCCAGCAAAGTAAGAAGGATTGTTTTCCTACCCACAATCAAATTGTTAATACTATAGAGAGCTTTGGCCCTTTTATATTTGTTTTTTTTCCTTTTGCAGTCTCATGTTTCTTCAATTTCACAACACCTTCAGGAATTATTCTTTCACCAAACTATCCCGAAGAATATGGAAACAACATGAATTGTGTATGGCTGATTATTTCAGAACTGGGGAGCAGGATACATCTTATTTTTAATGACTTTGATGTAGAGCCTCAGTTTGATTATTTGACAGTGAAAGATGATGGGCTTTCTGACCTACCAGCTCTTGGTACTTTTTCGGGCAATGATGTGCCTTCTCAAATTGCCAGCAATGGACACATAGTACGCCTTGAATTTCAATCAGATCATTCAACTACTGGAAGGGGATTCAATATAACCTATACTAGTAAGTACTCATTTTATTTTTTAAACCAAATAAGCTAGGGTTCATAGAACTAAAACAAGCACTTCTAAGACTTAATTTTGGAGACCTAATATAAATGCTTTACATAGTATGAGAATTTAAATAATTCTCCCCTATATTTTTGTTATTATTTATTTATTTATTTATGAGATTTATATACCGCTTTAAGTGCAAGCACTCTCTAAGCGGTGTACACCAGTAAGCAATGTATATATATATTTACATTGCCCCCAACAATCTGGGTCCTCATTTTACCTACCCCGGAAGGATGGAAGGCTGAGTCAACCTTGAGCCGGTGAGATTTGAACCACTGACCTGCTGAACACAGTCAGCTAAAGTGGCCTGCAGTACTGCACTCTAACTGCTGCGCCACCTCGGCTCATTAATGAAGAATTTACTGTACAGAATTAGCAGGACAATACTCATAAATATAATTTTGCATTCATTGAATTTATTTCTAGTAAGCATATATAATTGTGTACTGTTTATATGGTAGAGATGGCTAGAACATTCATTCATTCATTCATTCGTTCATTCATTCATTCATTCATTCCCATTGTGAGGACAATGAATACTTTTTACTTCTCCAAATTTTAGTAAATATCAATTTCACTCTGGTTCAGATATATCATATTTTATCATTGGCAGTATGGAGTGCCACAGAATTGTCATTTTAATTGACTGAAATAGTTAAATCATCATCTCAAACATAAAAAACCAGTGATAGAAATTAGATAGAATGAGCTTGTATGAATATAGTATATTGTAATATTGATCTATTTATTAATTGGAATTGCCCATGTCTTTTCTTGTAAAATTTAGCATTTGGTCAAAATGAGTGCCATGATCCAGGAATCCCCATCAATGGAAGACGCTTTGGAGACAGATTCCTTCTAGGAAGCTCAGTTTCTTTTCATTGTGATGATGGCTTTGTGAAAACTCAGGGCTCAGAGACTATAACTTGTGTACTGCAAGATGGAAATGTTGTATGGAGTTCAACTGTCCCACGTTGTGAAGGTAAGGCTTTACTATATCTTCAGTTATGAATCCGAAAATGTTGTTTACACTGTGTTTACTAGTTTTAATTATCCTAGATCTAGACCTAGTAATACCCTTATACTTGACATTTGAGGCTATCCTTGAAAGTTCAGGAGGATACTAACTGGAACTGTGTAGTACTGTACATCTGTATTATGTCAATATTTCATAATATATAATATATGACAGTGGTCTAATTCAGTGGTTCTCAACCTTTTTAATGCCACGACTCCCAACCGGTCGTAAGTCGAGGACTACTCAACTGGTGCAGCACCGTTTGCAGAATGGGACTTTTGGCGGGCTCAGCAGGGCAGAGACAGCCTGGACAATTCCTATTGGCTTTTGAAAGCCAATAGAATTAGACTCTATTCAAGAGAGCCTATTCTATTGGCTTTCAAAAGCCAATAGAATAAAAGGAAGTAGCACAGCTAAGGAAAAGGGGAAAAAAATGGCGGACTGCGTTGTTTGGCGACCCCCCGTGAAATGGTCGTTCGACCCCAAATGGGGTCCCGACCCACAGGTTGAGAACCACTGGTCTAATTGTTTCCAGGTCTATTTCAAAGTGGTTCTATCAATAAAATTAATGTTTTGTGATAAAAGTATTGGAAGGCATGCCTTTTCCAGTATGTTGCTACCTGAATTGTTAGTACATCATAGGATCTTTTCCAAGTGCCCTCACAATCTGAGATGTGATTGATTACTTCTCAGAGGGTGGACTTTCAGTACTTGACCCCAGCTCTAGCTGTGAATACATTTCCAGGAAGTCTACTAATGTTTTCTATTTTCTTGATCAATTTTAATTTCTTAGTACTTGAGTGTTGTTGCAATTCTAAATTTAATCTCGCTGTTCATTATGCATTTATTATGATGATTATTTTGCTTCTGCTATTTTTCATTGATTTTAATATGTTAATTTAAACTTCTGCTTTTGATTGGAATAATACAGTAATTTTGTTCCTTTTTTATGGCATATCAATTTGAGCACTAGTAGCTACAGGATGATGAGTCAGTCTTAAAATAAAGGCATATAAACATTTGTTTTGATTTATAAATGTGTCTTTTATTGCACTATTTTCATTTGAGCTGTGTCTGATGAACTATTTCATAATTCACCATAATGCCTGACTTTTTAAATCTGGGCTATTAAGTAAATACACTGAGATTAAAAGCACCCTTCCTGAGTCAGTTTTCAGAGGTAGCTGTGATCCAGTGTCATTTTCCACATGTAAAAGTAGCTCAGCAAGAAAGCTTTTTACCTTCTTTTATTGAAAGCCTGGAGAAATTCCTATAAATAGAAATGATTGAACAGATTTAGAAGGATTGTTTATGGAAATACTTTCAAATCACACAAAATACTCTTTCACATTTAATTCTACCATTTTTATCCTCCCAAGATTTGATTTCATCGAAGAATAGCTCTTAAATGTAATGGCTTAACTTAGTTAGAAGAACTCTTTTTTTTTTATGACAGACATTTGCCCCTCTCCTGGCAATTGGAAACTCAATTTCGAAATCCCATTCCCTCTAGATAGCTGGAAGACAATTTAGTATGATTATGCTTGACTGGAAGAAAGAAAGGTCTGAGTGAAACTAGAACAGAGACATTTCTCCACTTTAGCTCCTGTGAAAGAAAAATGTAACTTGGAGGAGGGAGACAATGGAATTTGTAATTCCATTTTCTCAATTTTCTTTCAATGTCCAAAGCTATATTCTAGGAGTGTTGTAACCCATTTACAGCAATTATTACAACATGGTCAAAAATCTCTTCATTTGGCATGTTCTTTTAAATCAATTTTAAAATAAATTTGTCTTTATTTTAAATGTCAGGTAAGAATCTCAAATACATTGAAGGCTGAATTCAGTGTTGTTGGATGACCTGGGGTTGATACTCAAAGCCAAATAACAATAATAATGGATGCAACCAAAGGAGTCTATGTACTAGGCCAGAGTAAAATGTATGGTATATTAATGGATATTTAAAAAAGCAAATGAAAGGATAAATAAAATTTATCTTGTAGCCCTCTGGTGCTTCTGATTACAGGTAGTACTTGACTTACAACCTTTCATTTAGTGACCATTCAAACTTACAGCTGCACTGAAAAAATGACTTAGAACCATTTTTCACATTTATGACTGTTGCAGGATCCCCATAGTCATGTGATCAAAATTCAGACGCTTGGCAACCAGCATCAATTTATGACAGTTGTAGTGTCCTAGAGTCATGTGATCACCTTTTGTGACCTTCTGACAAGCAAAGTCAATGGGAAAGCCAGATTCACTTTACAACCCTGTTACTAGCTTAACAACTTCAGTGATTCACTTAAGAACTGTGACAAGAAACATTGTAAAATGGGTGAAACTCACTTAACAACTTTCTCACTTGGCAACAGAAATTTTGGGGCTTAATTGTGGTCATATGTCGAGGACTACTTATAATCTAGAAAAAAATATGGAAGTTTTAATAGAGAGGAACATTCAGAGTTATGGATGCTTTTTCTGCCAGTGTCATTTTTAAATTCTCAAGCCTGAAAATATATTATTGAGGCATTTGAAGAAAGCACAGTTTAGAAGATAAATAATTCAATTTCAATATATTTCTGAGAATCAAGTGATTGTTCATTTTTTTTAAAAAAAATACACCTTCTCCTAAATGCAAATGTTATAGAATAATTCAAGGGGTTCCTCTGTTCTGTTAGTGCCATAATAGAACACAATATTCCCAATATAAATAGCACTGGCTGAACTTACATGGACATATTTAAGCATACTAGACTGATGCAAATTTAAAATAAAAATGAATTGAACATTCTTTGAAATCTATTTGTTTATTAGCGCTAATATATGGATGTCCATCAACACACCCTGAACTGCAATGTATGAGTGTATGAATTAAGTGCTTAATATATTTAATATTATTATACATACTAATGATAATATAGAAAGTGGCATGAAATGTGATATTGTGTGTGTGTATGTGTGTGCATTAAAAATAAACTGATGCAATAACAGGATGAAACAAAAATGATGAACTCTGATGAACTGAATTTAACGACAACTTGGCCACATTTAATATTTGACTATCTTTCACATTTAATATTTGATTTAATGTGAAGAGAAGAGAGGAGGATATATTGAAAGATTTGGTGTGGTTGACTCAAAATCATTTTGTTGTCACTCTGAGCAGGAATTTTGCTGTTATACTTCTAACAATTATTTTACTTCAGTCATATTTATTTCATTTATCAATTTTTAAAATTGCCCAGTGCAGACAAATATACTGAGATTCGACATGATCATGAACAGACTTTATCAGGGCATAGAAAATTCACAGTGGACTATATGAAGCACCAGTGTTAGATTAAACAAAATCAGTGAGTAAAATATATTTAGTTGATAACAAAGGTTGTTTTTCAAGTAAGCACTGAATTCTATTCTGCATTTAGTGTTTATGACAAACTAGGATGATTAGACAAGACAGAGCCAAAGGATTATTTGTCATCAAAATTGTAGTTTATTTTAAAATTCAACCATGGAACACTTGAATTTAATATGAATGCATTTTAGCATAATTAACACCTCAATTTAGCTGTCATTATTATTTGTTTTTCAGCACCGTGTGGTGGCCATCTGACTGCATCTAATGGCATCATTTTGCCACCAGGATGGCCAGGGTACTACAAAGATTCATTAAACTGCGAATGGGTCATTGAAGGCAAGAAAGGGCACTCCATTAAGATCACCTTTGATAAGTGAGTAAAAACAAAACAAAACTAGAAAATGCTTTGTCATTGATTTTTTTTCAGCTATATAGAGGGGTCTACAGTGTAGATGACCATATATAAATTGATAGTTTTATTCTGTAAACAAAAAGTTATTTACAAGAAGACAAAAAAATAGAAATATGGAGAGTAGTTTGCATCTCCTCTCTTCTTTATTCAGGTGATTGGCGTCAATCATAAATCAATTAAACAAAGTGGCTGTAACCATGTCCTTCCCTTTACAGTTTACCAGACCAAAGCAGGAGAAACAGTGCTTTTTTTCTAAAAAAAAAAAAAAAAAAAAGGTGCCAGAACTCACACATGCCATACAACCCGCCTTGCCTACCATACAAGGTTACATTCAAAAAAGGTGCCGGAACTCTGTTCTGGGCGTTCTATGAGAAAAAAAGCCCTGAGGAGAACCATTAATCACATAAAACTGATCAACACATCCAAAGATGTGTAGGAGGTGATAAATGAAAGATAAGTGAGCAATACAAAAGATAGGTTTAGACAATTTATTGATTATGAATTCTGGGAGTTGAAGTCCAGAGGATATAAAGGGACCATAGTTGCCCACCCTTCAGGTAGAAGCTGCTTGGAACAAAATTCAAAGAATTATGTTATACCTGCAGAATGTATTGAGTTTTGCTAATGGAAAGTATGCAAAAAGATACTCGGTGAAAGATAAAAGAAAAAAAAATCATGTACAATCATGATTGGTGAAAATTGATAAGATATTGTATACTATTTAGAAAGAGGAAAAAGTTGCAAAGGATGGAAATGGAAAAAAAGATTAATGAGGAGTCTCCAGCATAGGAATGGAATTAAAAAAAAGAGAGAGTAATGAAATTAACTATATGGGATTAATGTCCTCTCTTCTATAACTTTAGTTTAAATAATATTAAGAAATGAAATAGGAAAATAATCCTTGGGAAGAGATATTTTGTCATACAGAACAGAAAGAAATGTTGCAGTTCCTGGTCTATCACTCCATAGCTGTGCTCATCTGGGTAAGGTGCATATTGTTGTGGGAACAGACTTTGGGCCATGGTTGTTAAGCGAATCACTGCAGTTAAATGAACCATGTGGTCATTAAGTGAACTTGGCTTTCCCCATTGACTTTGCTTGTCACAAGCCAGCTGAGAAGGTCGCAAATGGTGATCATGTGACCCCTGGGATGCTGCAACCATCGTAAATACATGCCACTTGACAAGTGCCAAACTTTGATCACATGATTATGGGGATGATGTAATGGTTGTAAGCATGAGGAATGGCTGTAAGTCACATTTGAATGCTGTTGTACCTTCAAACAGTCACTAAATAAATCATAAATCCAATATGCCCTGTATATTGTTAAGCCTTGAGTTTGTAGTTTATTAGAATTCTGACTGAAAATTAAAAGAGGTAGTGATGAATACAATTTTAGAAGTGCAGTTCATATTTTTACTTTTCAACAAGTCACTGAGAAATATTTGAATGTGAGAAAGTATATTGTAGATTTTTTGTCTTAAAGAAAGCATATAAAAATGGGTGTACATCTGAATTTTAGAAATGTGCCAATATAAAAATGAAGGTTGTTTGCCCAATAAAATAGGTATGGCATGTTATGGAAATAAACATTCATGGGAATAAACGGCTTGCTTAGTAAATTGCTCAACAGGTGAGCAGAGAATAAACAAAAATACATGTGTTTCCCTTGGTTCTTTATTCTATTATGGATAAATGTACAGGTAATGTTTGTAATGTTGTTAAAGTTGTGTTGGCAGAGAATGTGAATGCATGTGGACTTTTGTATACAGATTATGCAGTTCTGTTAGCCGATAATCCAAATAGTTTGCAGCAAAAGTCAGATTGCATGATGCAACGGAGCAGGATTTCAAGAACTTATTTATCCAAGAGTAAGGTAGCTGTGTTTGACAGGAAAAAAAATTGCAAACACTACATGGATGTCCCCCAAAGTCAGTAGATAAATACCTTATAGATTATTTACTAAAGATGTTAAAAGGAATGAAAAAGAAAAGATCAAGACATGCCAAATGTAGTGGGTTGTGCGTGGTCCTTTATGAAGAATGAATGTTTGTCCAAAGAGGTGAAATTGGCTATGTGTAACAACATTCTTGTGCCCTCTTTATTATATGGAAAAGGAAAATTCATAAGTCAGGTCAAACAGGAATACTTTAGGAACGCAAGACATTTTGCTACTGTCCTTACCTGAGATAAAATAAATCAATCCCATGATAGATTTCCTGGATGTGTTACTCCTTTAACAGTGCAAACCCTTTCCTCATCTCCGAAGCCAAAAGGTTAAGAATCTTGCACAGCAAAATAGTTTTGTTTCTACATGAATGCTTTGTAAACTGGAGGGGGAAAGTCTTGAACAGACAAACAGAAGCAAGGGGTTTCTATTTCTCTAGTTGGAAAGGCTGTCAGATGAATCTACATTACTTAGACACTATTAGATGGTGTTACACATAAGTCTAATGTTTAGACCAGCCACATGATGAAACTGGTTATATTTGATGCAGAAATAATAACAACTAAAAAAATGCTTATTCCAAAGATATGGAAAACTTGACTGGAATAAAAGAGAATGATTCTTTTAGTATCAAATTTGAAACTGATATTTTGTATAACTCTGGAAAACTAAGAGTGCCACTTCACTCATTTTTTTCTATTTTTACTTGTTACTTTGATTAATTTCATCATAAGGTTAATAATTTTCTTTACTTAAGTCGTAAACGTTGTTGAACAAATACAAAACATCTACAAAACGTGTACAAGTGTAGACAAAGATTTAAGAGTCCTTTGCATCCAACTCTCGGTTATGTGAAAGTGGCAATATCTTATGTCCTTCATACATACTTTTTTAGAAAACTGTTGAATAGTGGTATATATTAACTAGAGTATTGGTCAGTCTACATTTCTCAATTTTGGCAATTTTATGCTGACCTCAACTCCCAGAATGCTGCTAGGGAATTCTGGTAGTTGAAGACCACATATCTTAAAATTGCTAAGGCTAAAAACAACTAGCCTAATCCGTTGCTAATAACTACTTGTTAGTTGCTTTTCTAAGTCTGTCTTTATAGATAGGATTGCTTGTCCAGAAGTGGTAATGATTGAACTTTGGATCTTATAGATACTAATCATGAACTTTCCTAAGTTGGATTTTACAAATAAAAAATATGTTCTACCACTGAATTATTATCCCCAAATCTCATATATATTAAATCAGACAAATGGTTTATTCATTTGAATGTTATGTTTCATGTTTTATGAGTATCATGAGATTATACATGGCCTTTTATTCCTTCAAATGTCCCAGCCCATCCTATTTCCGTGGATATAATTCACCAACTATGGTGGATTGTGTATTTTTCTGTACAATATGAAATCATTATAAAATGTAAGGAAGATATGGAAGATGTTGTGTAAGTTCTACTTCTTATCAAAAATATTATTGCTGGAGATTCCAAAAACATACCCTGAATTGTGCTTATGATTATTCTGATTTATTTGATTATTCACTTGTATGCTACCTACTTTGCAAATTCTACTGAATAAACTTGCCTTTTGTTGTTACAGATTCCAAACAGAAGTAAATTATGATACATTGGAAATCAGAGATGGACCAAGTGGTTCATCCCCATTAATTGGGGAATATCATGGTACCCAAGCACCACAGTTTCTTATTAGTACTGGCAATTTTATGTATCTGTTATTCACCACGGACAACAGCCGTTCTAGTGTTGGTTTCTTAATTCACTATGAGAGTAAGTCTGATCTTTTCCCTCACTTGTCAGATAAGAAAGGACATAGTCTGTAGCTGCATAATGGGCAGCGAAAGAGGTTAATAAGGAATCCTTTCTAAGTTCTCAGACTGTAAAGAGAAGGTGGGAGATTTGTAATTTCAGACTTGCAAGATTCTGTTAAAGTAGCTTTATAATAAAGTAGATTTAGCTTCTCTGGTCATGTCTCCTTTCTGGTTTATTTGGGAAAGCTGACACATTAGAAAGCAGAATTTTCAGGTTGGAGGGCCCATCTTCACTCTCATCTTTACCTCTTTGATTAAACTGCAACTTAAAAGATTAAAAATCCAACACATAGACTGACCAACCTCATCCTGCAACTATCACATTGCAGCATGTCACAGTCTTGTTGAGTAAAATGTCATTGGGTTTTCTACAAATCAAATCTGCTTTCCCCAACAAACAAAATCAATCAATAAGTATAGAGTGGAAGAGACCATGGAGGTCTTCTAGTCCAACCCTCTGCTCAAACAGGAGACAACTATACAATTTGAGAGAAGTGGCTGTCCAGTCTTTTCTTAAAAACCTCCAGTGATGAAGCACTCACAACTTCTGAAGGCAAGCTGTTCCACTGGTTAATTGTTTCAATTGTTAGGAAAAGACAAAAAGATAAAATCCAAATATTTGAGGGGATAATTAAAGAATAAAACAGGAAAATTGGGTGTCATCTGTTAGATATATTTTTGATATTCATTTAATTATTCACTTCCTTAATCAGTATAGGAGTTGTTTTTTAAAATAACAATTATGAAAATAACAGTACCAAAAATATTTGGGGATTTTTAATCTAATTTTGCTTGGAATTGTATTCTCTATCCTGATCAGGTGTCACACTGGAATCTGACTCCTGCCTTGACCCAGGAATTCCAGTAAATGGCCACCGTCATGGCAATAATTTCAGTATCCGATCTACAGTAACATTTAGCTGTGATCCAGGTTATACTCTGAGTGATGATGAACCACTTCTGTGTGAAAGAAATCACCAGTGGAATCATGCACTGCCTAGCTGTGATGGTAAGTAACTAAAGATATTATCAAAATAAGGACAATATCACAATTCCGTCTTTTCATATTTCATGCATTAATAAAATACAGAAAAATTGAATTATTCAGGTTACTTGTTTTTGAAACTCCTTTTGTACATGTAAGAATCTCTGCCTTACCTGTTCCTATTAATGTGTGGCTTTCTGGGAAGCATGAAAGGAAAATAATATATAATTTAATGCTATAGTCATGGTAGCAATTATTTACTTACTTTAGCTTTTCTGAGCCGCATCTCCCAAACTGACTGATAAAACAAGCATATTAAAGCAAAAATATGTTTTGTAATAATGCATACTGTACTTATATTAACAAAACAAATATTATAATCAATTTATACCAGAACATCTAAACAGCTCAGTAAGACTTACGTACTTATTTCAGCAAAAGAAGTAAGATTCATTCAGCAAAAAGCTTTGCAACTTAAAAAAAAAGACAGCAGTTCTTAACAGATTTTAGATGAGAGATATTTCCTAAGTATTTCCTAAGCCCTTTTGAAAAACCACTGTCAATCAACTTTAAAAGAGCAGGCTTTGGCTGACAAATTTTAAGGAGGTTTTGAATCAGTTGATAGAAAACAGTGAAAAGCACATTTCCAAGGGTTTATTGTTTTTTATAGCATTTTATTATTTTTTTTTATTATTACAATTCATTGGTGCTTAATGAACAATGTATTGTCTGGGTTGATTTGTTTTGCTTAGTAATACAAGTTAGGTTCTTACTCTCTATCCTGTTTTTTCAGCCACTGATAAAATAAAAAAAGGGTTTATTGTTGTGTTGTAAGTTTCTTGAAAGTACCTGGGGGTAATTAGCCAAATCAACTTACTTTTTCAGAATGTTAGTTGAGGTGTATAAATTTCAAAGGGAGAACAAAGTTTTCAGCTCAGACCTAGCTTAGAATACAATCAATATTTAGAGCAAATAGAGAACCATTGACATATTTCCAATATAATCTGGTTTATTTATTGTCCAGTACTGTTTAAATAAGGGATTGCTGAGGATTGGAGATAGTAAAAAGGTAGGAAAGAAAGAGATATGGCCATGTACCCAACCCTTTAATTCCAGGTTAAAAATGATGTGTTAATCATTCTTTAAAGCAGGGGTCTTCAAACTTGGGCCTTTAATGATTTATGGACTTCAACTCCCAGAATTCCTCAGCCAGGCATGCTGGCTGTGGAATTCTGGGAGTTGAAGCTCCACAAGTCATAAAAGGGCAAAGTTTGAAGACCCCTGCTTTAAAGACATAGCCACATGATATAACTTAACCTTCCCATAGGCAAGGTGAGTTAACATCTTTCCTCCTCATCCAAAGTAGATATTTTACATCTTCTCCCAATGTAAGCCTTGTTGTATATACCATGAGGTTCACTTTGGTAGCAACTGGCACAAAGGCTGAAATCTCTCAAGTTTCTCTAGGCTGTTATCAGCTGTTGCAAGCATACCCTGCTTTTTGGTCCCTCCTGATTGCCTTCCATGCTATTTTGGTTTGTGGTACCAACAATTATGACATCACTAGAAATATAATGATGCAGATTTATTTAGAAAAGCAGTAGACCTGGATCCTTCTAAACCAGACATGTCAAACTCGCAACGTCAACATGACGTCGCGCAACCTATCGGGACCGTTTTGCCATTGTCAGCAATGAGGTGGGCGCGGCTTCTGCGTGACGCATCTGGCCCGTGGGCCAGCAGTTTGACACCTCTATTCTAAACTGAACTATAGTACCTGTCTAGCATGCTATCTAGAAATCTTTCTGTTCCTTTATCACTATAGCCTTTATTCTTAAAACATACATTTTGAGTTTTATTATATGTTCTCATTGGATTAATTAGTTCAAATATGTCAGAATACCAGAATTCAGTAAATATATTAGATAAGTATTAAACTACAATGATACAGGAAAAACATGCTAAATTACAGCTGCTGCCAAACTACATGTCATTTATTATGCAAAGTTGAACAATTATTATGATAAATAATCATTCACAAGGAAACAGCTTTTAATTGGGTCATAACCTATTTTACTTTTTTTAATCTTCACAGAGGTTCAATTTTGATAAAGATAATAACATAGCTGTGATGAAAAGTATTTTCTGTTCCGTGAAAACCAAGGATGAGAAAAGAATTTTAAAATCTGTACTCTAACATGCCTTTAATGAAACAGTGCAACAAAGTTTCATCATAAAGTTGTTTCATATATTTGGCCCTAAGCCTAGATCAAAGACAACCAAGGAAATCTGTAATGGTATTTATTTTTAGAGATCATAATATCAAATACTCATAATTAATCTATCACATCAGAGAAAATTAAAATTATATGAAAATAATTTGGAACTGATGCTTTTTGTATAAACCTGTTTCTTTCTCCCATGTAATCTTATCCCCTCCTGATCACTAAACCAGTTGACTGTCTACACAGTGCATTTGACAACGTAACCAGCTATCTTTCAGATAGAGACCAACATATTCTATTTTTCTCTTGTTATTCTTTTTGATATATATTCTTGTAAGGTTCTTTACTATCAGGTTGCCAAGGAAACAAGACAGTCACTGGCAATTCTAAGTAGACTCCTAATGCAGATGTACACATTAATCTGACTACTACTGCTGTTGCTAATCAGTTCATTTGCTGTGATGATGTTTATAAAATTTCTATTTCAGCAGGAACCTATAATGTGTATGTAAAATGAGAACCATATAGAGTAAAGGCCTTCCTTCCTTCCCTTCCTTCCTTCCTTCCTTCCTTCCTTCCTTCCTTCCTTCCTTCCTTCCTTCCTTCCTTCCTTCCTTCCTTCCTTCCTTCTTTTCTTCCTTCCTTCCTTCCTTCCTTCCTGGCAAATTTTGCACTATTTATTAGTACCTGTTCATAATGTGTCCCCCCCCCAAATGAAGAACTTAATCATCCCTCTTAATTTTTAATTAGAATGTATTCTCTTTTGGATTAGCTCTATGTGGTGGCTATATTTATGGAAGGAGTGGAACTCTTCTGTCACCAGGCTTTCCTGATTTTTATCCCAATTCTTTAAACTGCACATGGACAATTGAGGTTTCTCATGGCAAAGGTAGGAATATTGTGTAATGGCATCCCACAAAGAGAATGCCTTAATCAAAAATGCAAACTCACCCATGGTTACTTAAACTATTTGAAAGGCAAGAGTGAAATGTAATCATCTTAACTTACTTTGGGGGCTGTTGAAGATAGCCAGTTCTGTTGGCTTATTCTCCTTCTTAACATTTCTAGGAAGTGGCCTAATCTCAAAATCAGAAATAAGCAAAACCATAATAATAATTCAGTGATTGTCAATAGAGCACCTGTAATGCTTGCACAGGTATTCTTTGATTTATTTTGTTTTAGTATGTTTTTCATTCAAATTGTGAAATCAAGATCAGGGGGTGATTTGCACACATTTCATTAGGCTCACTGCCCTAGGGTGTACAGTAACTATACTAAAAGTCTGTTAAATGTGTTACAGGAGCAATGTTTCCATGTAGACTGCTTGTGAGTCAATTTTGTGAAGTGTTAGGTGTTAGACAAATAATTGGGATACATATTCAGGTCCTCCCTTAGCCCCAAAAATCTCACTCAGTAGATTTGGGACAATTATTCTTTGCAACTTTACTTACTTTATAGGCTTGCTGTAAAGACCAAATTGAAGACGGAGTGCTTTGTATGTTGCCTTGCAATCTTTGCAGGAAAGGCAAGATATGTATCTAACAAATAATTCAATTATTATTAAGATACTTGTAGGACAGATCTTAGACAAAATGAAAAATCTCAAAGAAAATGAGTCACTAATCATTAATAGAGATTTCAGATTCAGTAATTTCAGATTCATGACTTTAAAATATTATCAATTATCAACACAGAAAACTTTTATACATCCATGCATAGTTTATTTATGTCAAAATGTAGCTTAAAATTGTTCTGATTCCACAAAAACATGTTTTGGCTTCATTATTACTGTAATGAAAATGAATGCAGATAAATATAAAATGCTTTTGTCATAGGCCAATAGTTTTTGAAAACACATTTTTTTTCTTATGACATATATCTGTAAACGTACAAAACATATTGGTTTTGAGAATTGTCCAACTATAGTATAAAATGGTTATGACAATGAATATGTTTAGGGTTAGAGTAGAGATTGGTGAATAATTTTTATTTTCTTTACTGTCGCAATATGATATATTCTGAATATTACCTATTAGCAATAAATATTTTTTGTGATATAATAGACATGCAGTAGTAGCAGTGGGTTTCTACTATGAACAGAAACAACCAAATCAATTTTGGAATAAAAGACACAGTTGAGGCCTAGCACCTTTGGCAGTAGCTGCTCTCTTAATTGCAGCAGCAACTGATCTCACTTACTATAGAACTATAGCAACTGTAGCCCAGCCTGAAGTGGAGAGGCCACAGCTGCATTGGAATTGAGATGTGACTTGGCTATGACATGGCTCTCTGAGTATGTACCATGATAAATGCGGCTCCTGGCATTCCCTTCCCTGACTCAAAAGTCTTGTTTTGGAGGAAGGGGGAGGCAATGGCAGCTTTAGGACTGAGGAAAGTATAGTGGTGCTTTACTTGCTGGGATTCTCATGGTAGAAATAAGATCAATACTAAATTCTTAGTATCATGGTTCTGACAGATAAAACCCTTCAAAACAACTTTGAGGCATTGTTTTCCTTAAATAATCTTTTATTTGGGAAACAAAGCATCGGCACTACATAGTTGAACCCAAAAACTAAATTCCCCTCCCCTGGATACAAAGTAACAAAATACAATTCCCACCCCCAATAAACAGTCATAAAGCACATCCCCCAATTAGCTTGAAGCCTGGGCTTTCTCCCCAGCTCTCCAGCCCGCCAAAAAGTTATCAGCTCTGGACCCAGTTTGTTCTTGGATTCCCACAGCAGAGTTATTATTATTATGACTAACTGAACTCTCATCCCAATCCCCCCTCCCAGCACCAACTAATTCTAAAAGCATAGAGAAAATGGCTGCATTTTCATCTGTTGTCAAAGCAAGAACATCCGATATTAGCAGCGTTGACACTTAGCTTTTTAGGATTATCAGTGGTTCAGCTCAAGAGTCCAGGTTGCAAAGTAGTTTTTGTCATATTTAAGTTATCCTGAATCCCCAAAGCAAAACGTTCTTTTCTCATCTTCCTAGGTGTTCAACTGATCTTCCACACCTTTCACTTGGAGAGCTCCCATGACTATTTGCTCATCACGGAAGATGGGAGCTTTACAGAACCTGTGGCAAGATTAACCGGATCTGTTTTACCTCCAACCATTAAAGCTGGGCTCTTTGGAAACTTTACTGCACAACTTCGATTCATTTCTGACTTTTCCATTTCCTATGAAGGTTTTAATATAACATTTTCAGGTAAAGATGTGAAAATAGTTGCTTTGTGAATTATTTATGCTTATATTAATTATTAAACAGCAAATACGAAGGGGTATTAGGTTCTACATGTTGATTAATAAACTACTTAATCTAGTTCTTTGTTACCTTTTAAAGTGCTCTCTGCTTAGTGCATATGTATTTACTTCATTGGAAGTTCTATTTATAGTGATATCTCTTACATCAGTGGTTCTCAACCTTTCTAATGTCGTGACCCCATAATATAGTTCCCCATGTTGTGGTGACCCCCAAGTGGGTGTGGCCACCAATAAGAGGGAGTAGGACGGCTAGGGAAAAGGGAAAAAAATGGCGGACAGCGTGGTTTGGCGACCCCCGTGAAATGGTCATTCGACCCCAAATGGGGTCCCGACCCACAGGTTGAGAACCACTGTCTTACATACTTACATACTTCATTATCACTATTCTCACTCTGCTTTGGATCTAAGATGGTTTAAACAACTAATTGATTAATATTTTTGAATAGGTTTTTAGCATCAGATACCAAGTTTGGTAGAAAGGTGTTTGCCAATTCTATGCAAAGCAATGATGAAATATCACCTTACGGTAAAAAAAAAAATATAGAAAAGAGATATTGTACATGGAAGAATATGCTGGAGGATTTGTATGTGTGCATTTGTGCATGCATGCACACATCCCTTTATATCAGTATTGACTCTGACAACTGCCTGAATTTGTCCCAGCAGTTTTCTTGGCAAGATTACAGAAGCCTCTAGCCCCTGCTTTCTTCCTTTCTTCCTGAAAGAATATGACTGACCCATGTTCATCCAGCTTGTTGTTTTTTTTTTTTTTTTTTTTTTGCATAAGGCAGGATTAGAACTCATATCTCCTGGTTTGTAGCAAAGTGGCTTAACCTAATACCAACAGTCATGTTAAAATCATGACAAAATGGCTAGGATTCAGGGTTGTTGTTTTTTTCAATTTTTGGGAATTGTGTTCAGGCTTAGTAATATAAGATACCTCTGAATAGATCTCCAAGGGGTTACTTTGCTTTGACAACATCTTAAGTGAAACACCCTCTCAGAACCGCTTCACTGGACAACCCCTGGTTTGTAAGATTAAAATAGAGCAGATACTGTTTTTCCTTGCCTAATTCAAATGCTTTTTTCAATTGTCTTCTGGCTGTTGCCAATGTTGCTTCAGATTGCAAAGAAACATGAAAGATATCTTACTGAGCAAAACATGTGCCTTATCAAAGAAAACTGTTTCATTTCTGTAGCATAAGTGTCTTCACTAAGACAAATTCAAAGCCATTTTGAAGGTGTTCTAAATTTTTCATTCTCCTTGATTGACCTAAGTCCATGGGCTCATTTCAAGAAATTACGAAAACAATTTCAGAAAGTTATGCGTAAAACGACAGTTGTTACTTTGATTACCAATAACTTTGAGAACCAATAAAAATATCTTGTTACATCGTAATGTTCTCCAACTTACTCCTTCTATTCATATAAAGATTTTCATTTCACTTTTCTATACATATGCATAAGGTATATTCCATGAAGTTGAAGGTCACGGTGTGATAAAATAAAAATTATTTGAAAGAAACAGAAGCAAAAATAGAAGTACTGCCTTGCTTAAATATTAGGCACCTAACAGACAACATTCTGCCAGAATAAAAATGTTTCATTATTTGAGAAAAGGTATTCAGAAAGGTATTCAGAAATGGGAATATCTGCATTTTATAGCCTATGCTATCAATATAGAAGAAGCTATATTGTTCTATATTATACTACAATTTTAATCTATTTTAATCTTACAAACCAGGGGTTGTCCAGTGAAGCAGTTCTGAGAGGGTGTTTCACTTAAGATGTTGTCAAAGCAAAGTAACCCTTTGGAGATCTATTCAGAGATATCTTATATTACTAAGCCTGAACACAATTCCCAAAAATTGAAAAAAACAACAACCCTGAATCCTAGCCATTTTGTCATGATTTTAACATGACTGTTGGTATTAGGTTAAGCCACTTTGCTACAAACCAGGAGATATGAGTTCTAATCCTGCCTTATGCAAAAAAAAAAAAAAAAAAAAAACAAGCTGGATGAACATGGGTCAGTGATATTCTTTCAGGAAGAAAGGAAGAAAGCAAGGGCTAGAGGCTTCTGTAATCTTGCCAAGAAAACTGCTGGGACAAATTCAGGCAGTTGTCAGAGTCAATAGTGATATGAAGGGATGTGTGCATGCATGCACAAATGCACACATACAAATCCTCCAGCATATTCTTCCATGTACAATATCTCTTTTCTATATTTGAGAAGGTTGCAATGAAAGAATAGTATGAGATAGAGTGTCTTTGCCTGCGTCCTGACCCTAAGACAGTGGTAGCGAACCTATGGCACAGGTGCCAGAGGCGGCACTCAGAGCCCTCTCTGTGGGCATGCGCGCCGTCACCCCAGTTCTAAGCCTTCATCTGGGTTTTATAAAACCTTTTCACTTTAGGCCTCCACCGCCGTGTACAAAAAAAAAGGTTCAATCAGTCAATTTCAACTTCTCGCAGAAAAAAAAAGATCTTGCAAATTTGGAATTGATTGATTGAACTTTTTACTCCCACCCAGTCTGCTGTTACCACTGCAGCCACGCCCACCCAATGGGCCATACCCATCCAATGGGCCACACCCACCCAGCACCCGCCGATGCATAAGTGGGTTTTAGGTTGCAGTTTGGGCACTCGGTCTCTAAAAGATTTGCCATCACTGCACTAAGACATTTAGGTTTAATGGGAGCTATTGAATTGTGCCTAGGAACAAATTAGCAACCAGGGCAGATAGAGCTGGAGAGTATAAAGTATCTGGAGAGTATAAAGAATCAGGAAGAAGGATCCGAAAAATTAAAGAGAGAACACTACAGATAATTTATTATAGTCTTATCCAATTTAGATGGAATTTTCAATTAAAATCAATTTATGAATTTCAAATCCATTTGGGAAAATCATATTGCAACTCATTCTGTGTCAGAAAAAGAAAATGTTTGTGACAAGCCTATGGACTTTTGAACAGATTCAAAAAATACCTTTAAAACATGTGTTTTGCCATTTCTCTCATGCCCGTTTGCAATCACAGCCAGATGCATTTTTGCTTTTAGATACAGTGTACAATACATACAGCTTTTACATGGTGTGATCCTTTTTCAAAGTTCATATGATGAATATGACAATCTCTCCTAGTCAGTTAAACTTTGTTACTAACTCACAAGCCCTACTAGTGCCTCACTCTGAATGGTAATCTGAATGCATCCCTGTTGCCAAGGAAACTGTGTTGATATTTTTGTTTTATTATGTGGAATTAGCAATTTTATTGCCAGGAATAATGCATTGTATTGATTTAGCTCTATTCTCACATTAGCCTAATTCCATTATCAGAAAAAGATTACATGATATTGAAGTTAGATTCAAGAATGCTGGTGTTTGAGTGGGGAAATAAGATTTATGCACAATATTTACTATAAGAAAATAAAATAAACTGGCGCTATTATTTTAAAAATAAAATATTATATTTTATAGACACATATATTAGAAAAGCAGGTGAGAGAAGGAAAAATGGTCAAAGAAAGCTTCAGCATCGTAAATACAGGTTAACATAATATGAACAGTAAGAAAGCAGAAGAAATAATTAATGGTTAAGATTTAATAATGACCATCAAATTTAAAAGGAAAAAATATATTGAGAGGGATTTTCCAGAGAAGTTGTCAATAGAAAAGTGAAATCCTTCATAACACCAAAACAAATCTCATTAAAACCACCTTTTTCACAGCCTATTTGCACTTACCATTTTACTTTATGGATTTGTAAATTTCTGCCACTACTTTTTTAAACATCTTCCAATTGATTATTACCTACTTAACTGACCAAATGTACTAGTGGAACACAGAAAGGGAGAGAAACGCTAAGGTGATAATATTGAAATAGTGTTTCAAAAGTGCATAAAAGGTGATCATCTTGCTGAAGGGCAAATTTACTTGATTTCTTATTTCAAGGTTTGTGATCATAGCATACTTCTAATATATTGAGGTTCTAGAAAAATATTTTACTTAACTTGTACTTGATATTTCATCACATATTTTTACTAACAATTGCTAGGTTCAGTGCATTATGTTTACAAAGCAGTGTATAAGATTCTTTCCATGTGTTTGTGTTTGTATGTTTCCTGGTTTACTGTATAAAAACTATTTTGCCTTGACTACAAAAATATATCAAGGGGAAAATATTATGCAAGACTTACTTTGACTTCCCTACCAGCTTGAATTTCAAAGACTGCAGTTTTATGCAGTAAGATAAGTCTGCACATGCAAATTAATTCACACTGATTTATGAGAGAGAGAGAGAGAGAGAGAGAGAGAGAGAGAGAGAGAGAGAGAGAGAGAGAGAGGAATGAAAACCTTGAAGAAAATAATGGTGGGTGGTATATTGCTAAGAAAATGATTAAATTTCAGGGACATTTATTGATATATTTTTGTCAGCCACTAATCAACACCCTTTTTAGGCAAACTCTGTAATCCCTTAAGTCATTGCAGTAGTTCAGCAGTAGTTCAGCAGATTGGTTTCCTTCCTTAACACCAAATCAGAGTTCTTTTTTTGTTTGTTTGTTTCATTCATGGCAAATGCTGGTCTAATCCAAATGCCGATACAACAATTGGCATTCTGAAAAGTACTCCAGCAGGTGCTTCATCATGAGATTTGATGTCACGCAAGGGCATTGAACAGTATAACCAACTGAAGAGAAAAGCAGACTTCGGGTTGCCATTATTGCAAGACACTGTAGTACAAGGGTCTTCAAACTTGGCCTTTTTATGACTTGTGGACTTCTACCCGCAGAATTTCTCAGTCAGGCATGCTGGCTGAGGAATTCTGGGAATTGAAGTCCACAAGTCATAAAAGGACCAAGTTTGAAGACCCTTGCTCTAATAGATAAGCTGTTTTATGAGCATCAGTATGTTTGTGTCTGTATGGAAATCAGGATAGAAAAAGCAAATCTGCCCATTTCCCATGCATTCCACCTAATTTTCCAAATTTGTATATGCTTAAATCTATATGTAGCTAATTAAATACATATATTTTTAAATAAAGTAGAGAAAACCTAGAGAGCAGGGCTTCTGAACTTCGTTCTGAAACTAGGTCAAGAGACTAGAGAAAGAAAGCTTACAGCTTAAGCATACAGCAGTCAGCGGCATCCCAACTTGCTACCCAACCATTTTGCTCAGAGGAACGGATGGGAGGAATTTGTTCTAGAATGTTTTTTTTCCTTCATAGTTTCCTGTCAGATCTGGCCTATGTTTTAAACTTGACTTTCTTTCATCAGCTTCTTCCTTTAAACCAAACTTGGTCCTCTTTTATTCTGTTTTCAGAGATTTATCCTGCTGACAGATAGAGACCTAAAGTTCTTTGCATAATGTTGTTTCCAACATTTGATTATGTTCATTAGGTTTGTATAACTTTAGGTAAAAACCCGCTCACCACTGGAAGCATCTAGTGCTACCAGTAGGGAGGAATTACCTAAAAGTACTTCTGATGCATTGAAGCAACTTGAAGCATATAGAAATAATTTGACGATCCATATAACATGTGGAATGGGAAAGCCTTTGAAAGCAGCTTTGGTGCTGCTCTTTCCGTTGTCAGCTACCATATAAGGAAAAAAGATAATGCCCTTAAGGTACATCTCTTTCCCTTTTCTTTCTTGGAAAGATGCATTTCTTCTTTTATTGCTTTCTAGCACATTACCATATTAAAATATTCTTTACAATGTTATGCTGAAACAAGAGACACAAGGTTACATCGTTCCCGTGTACATCTGCATCTCTGCAATATTTCTTTTTCGTTTGTGTGCCCTGTGTTGTTTGTCATATAACTGAGTAAAATAAAAGCATCCTAGACCTACCTGAAGATGACGTTTGATGACTCTGCAGCCCTTTATGTAGTTTTCTTGAAGCAGTATGGATCTAGATGTCTCGTATAAATAGCAGTGATATCAAAACAAGCAAAGGTGCATCATGATTCATACTGAGAACTCCAGTGTTTTCAATTTGGATCCCAAACATGGCATGAAACTCTGTAAGCTGTGAGGTGTGGATTGCTATAATAATTGCTATAATTTTGTCATTCCATCAAAAAAACCTACCTTCTGGATGACCATTTGTCATTTGCCTTCTGGGGTATATCTCTATCACTCTCTCTCTCTCTCTCTTTCTTTCTTTCTTTTTTTCTTTCTTTCTTTCTTTCTCTCCCCCCCCCTCTCTCTCTTTCTCTCTCTCTCACAAATCTATATCTATATCACTATATTTTTCTATCTGTCTATCTATCTATCTATCTATCTATCTATCTATCTATCTATCTATCATCTATCTATCTATCTATCTATCTATCTATCTATCTATCTATCTATCTATCTAATTTCCTCTTAAAATTCACTAGTAGTCTTTCATTCAAGTTACTAAAGAGGCTCAACACAATTTGACATTCCAGACCTAGACATGGTCAATCAGCTGTTGCTTCTTGTAGAGATTCTGTTTATAGTATTATTTATAATAGAAAAGTAGGTACAGGTAATCATCGACTTATGATCACAGTTGACCTCAAAATTTCTATTGCTAAGCAAGGCAATAAGAGAGTTATGCCCCATTTTACGACTTTTCTTGCCGCAGCTGTTCAGTAAATCACTGCAGCTATTAAGTTAGTAACATGGTTGTTAAGTGAATCTGGCTTCCCCATTCACTTTGCTTGTCAGAGGGTCCCAAAAGATGATCACATGACCTTGGGACATTGCAACTATCATAAATATGATCCAGTTTCTAAGCATCTGAATTTTGATCATGGGGATGCTGCAATGGTCATAAGTCACTTTTTTCAGTGTCGTCGTAACATCAGACAGTCACTAAATGTATGGTTTTAGGTCAAGGACTACTTGTATACATTTAGTAAATGTCTCTGCATTAAATATTGAAATAATTATACAATTTAACTGATTGTTCTGAGAAATCTAAGTTCCTCTTGCACTGGGTGGGGGAAGCAAGATATGTATTCTTAAAATATTTGGTTTCATCTTTGTTTTTGATTTCTTGTTGGAAGAATATGATCTGGAGCCTTGCGATGACCCTGGGGTTCCTGCCTTCAGTCGACGCATAGGATTTCATTTTGAAGTTGGAGATTCCTTGACATTTTCTTGTTTTCCTGGATATCGTTTGGAAGGTGCGATCAAGATTATCTGTCTGGGTGGTGGCCGTCGTGTATGGAGTGCACCTCTGCCAAGGTGTGTGGGTAGGTGGTCACATGCTTTCATTTCATTCATCAAATTGTTTCTGGCCCATGAAGCAGGCAAAAATCAAAGGTGTGAAAAAAACCCATTAAGTTATGTGGCATTAATGTATACATTACATTGTAGTTTGCTAAATTACTCAGGAAATGATTTTAAATACAATTAAAGACTTTTTTCTGGTTATTGATCATAATGAATGATTTGATTAAATAATACTTTTAAAAATATTTTTAAAATAATAGTTAAATTAATAACCATGGATCGAACAGCTGTTTTTCCTCATATGAAATGGTCATAGATGATAAATATATTAAGGGATGGAAGTCTATAATTTTTTTTAAAAAATGTACATATTATTTACCAGGGTATAGAAGCCTTCATAAACAAAATTCGATTTGAATGTACCCAGCAATTCATATTAATTGTTAGATTGAACATTCCTAAATTGTTTCAATTAAAATGTGTGTAAGCTTATATGAATTTGAATGCATCTATCTTTCTCTTCTTTCAAATAGTAAATAAATCATAAACAGAACAATAGTACTGATTATATTTATAAGTTCTGTTATTTCACCATTTTCAACATCTTGTGCCAAACTCTTTGTGTGTGTGTGTGTGTGTGTGTGTAAATGAATGTGGTAAAATTTTTACTATCATTCCTATGACGAATCAATGCATACTATAGCCTATCAATCTTTTTAGACTTATTCCATAGGTGGCATAATAGAACAATCATTATAAATCTAATCTTGCAAAAGAAAAGTTTTAGTGTGAAACTTGCCAGAAACTTTTTAATTACTATATTTCCCTAATATTCTATTTCTTTGTCTTTTTATATTTTTTTAATGACTCAGTGTACCATTTTATCATTTTTCCGTCACCAGAGGTGAAAGGGTTTCACCTCCGGTTTCCAAAAGCTCATATGTTATTTGGGAGTTGAGGGTGAAATTTTCTACCTCAGATGATGGATAAAGGGGGAAATGGGCTTTTCCTCCTCATCATCTTTCTTCCAAGCACAGGTAAAATAGAAAACTCAGAAAAAGGAAAATAATTGATGAAAATAATATTTCTGAAGGGTCATGCAAGCAACCTGTATTTATAAGGCAAGAGCTATAATTATTGTGCTGTTATAATGCTCATGGCAAGGGCAGCATTAAGAGATATTAGAAATAGGGCAATAAGAAGGATTTTTTTTTTAAAAAAAAGCTAGGACTAGAGACAGGATTTTCTTAACCTAATCAAGAGTCAAGGTAATATGAGTAATATACAGGATTGGCTTAAGAGGTAAGTGGCGATATGCCTGAAGAAAATTGTATTTGAGCTTTTCCCTTCTTCCATAAGTGACTGACATTATCAAAACAAACTACATCAATTATCTGGAATTTTTTTTGTAGCATTTAAAAAAGAGAAATAAAAATGTTATGAGGTGAAATCAATTGATTTCAGTTAAACAGTTCAGTTCTCTACAAACTTAGATTTGCTTTGCATTCCAAATAGAACACCGAGAGCCATAGAGATGATTTTAGGGTACTATTCAGCAACAATTTCAAAAACATGTTTTAAGCCCAGGGAATGAAGAAAACATTAGAACAAACCTCAAACTGGCTCACCCTGGACTCCCCGAAGTATAAGAGGGAGGGAAGGGAAAATGCAGTCAGGTTTTCAAGATTCTGTAACTAAAGCCTATATAAATTAATTAGAAATCAAATTATTATTGAAGAGTCTGTTTCCTGGTCTACTCTACCTTGAAGGGACAATATGAAATATCTAACTGGAAGTACAATCTAATGACCCTCCTGCAAATTATGCAATTATTAATGTCAAAGGCGAGATGGTAGTTGTGCAGTTTTTTGATACATAATTATGTTCTCCATTCATTCTGATAGTGTATTGGAATGACTTTGCCATACAAAAAGCCTGTAGACTAACCTGAATTTATCTTGAATGATAATTCAGTTAAAATAGTCTAAACAAAAATAATATTGGGAAAAGAGACAGGTGAGGAAGTCTTGTGGCCCAGCAGATTTCATAGCTAACAAGTAACATTACAGGTAGTCCTTGATTTACAACAGTTCTTTGAGTGAATGTTCAAAGTTACAACAGCACTGAAAAAAGTGACTTATGACCATTTTCAACTTACAACCATTGCAGCATCCCCACAGTCACATGAAGAAAATTCAGATGTTTAGCAACTGATTCATATTTATGATGGTTCCAGTGTCCCTGTGGTCATGTGATCCCCTTTTGCAGTCTTCTGACAAACAAAGTCAGTGGGGAAGCCAGATTAACTTAACATTCATATTACTGACTTAACAGCTGCAGTGATTCACTTAACAACTGTGGCAAGAAAGGTTGTACAATGCAGAAAATTCACTTAACAAATTTTGAGCTCAGTTGTGGTTGTAAGTCAAGGACTACCTGTGTAGGAAAGTGTTTTCCTATAAAAGCCATTTTAAATGAAAGGAAATATTTCATAAACAGGCTTTTGGAATTTTATTACACTTTAGGGGAAAATATTTTCACTATCTTCTCTATCTTTATAGAAATGCAGCTGACAAGCTCTTTAAACTTGTCATTCTTTAACTACCGTTGTTATCATCTCACAAATTAAAAGCCATGTAAAAGGAGTGAATTATTTTTTCTGTATGCATAGACATAGGTAATGCAATACAAACTGTTCAATTATTACAGTAAATAATGACAAACGGCATCTGCGCCTAGATCAGCCAATACTGTTGATAAACTCCATATTTTATGAAGTACTATTATTCATATTTCCCTTTCTCTGCTGGCAAAATCTGGGAAAATGTTGGATTAGGTAGAAAACTATTTTTCTATCTAAAGCCATTGTTCCAAGAAGATGGCAGAGGGAGGAAACATGGGCCTTATAAAAGTTAATAATTCAATAGAATTAATTATCAACTGCTTTATCAGATATTACAGTTATTACATAAGCAAATATATTTATTTTGTGATAAGTAATAAATAACAATGATCACTAGCAAGCAGATTTAGCATTTCCTACTAGATTTAATTCCAGGGAATTGGATTGAGTTAACTATCAATACCAAGAAAACTACATATATGGTTCTGCATCTCTATTTTTTGAACTGTTAACCATGTAGCCTGTCATACCTCGCATGGTTGTGTAGGATCAAGAAACAGCTACTCAGTCTTGAGTAAGATATCTTCAATGGTAGTCTTGAGTAACTACAGAAACTTTAAGAGGAATTTCTAGCAGGCTAATTGTGCTGACTGCCAGCAGTTCAATTCTGACCAGCTCAAGGCTAACTCAGTCTTTTATCCTTCTGAGGTCAGTAAAATGAGGACCCAGATTGTTGGGGGCAGTAGGCTGACTCCGTAAACCGCGTAGAGAGGGCTGTAAAGTACTATGAAGCAGAATATAAGTCTAAGCACTATTGCTATTACTAAGAGAGAGGGGTTTTTTGATAATTTGAAACATTTCTCAGATATATCTTCAGACGACCAAGGCTGAGTTGCTCTTTATATGATAAACTATCAATAGAGTCATCTTTTGTTTCTTGATTCTTTATGTGTAATTTCCCTTCCATTTCATTTCTAGCTTCCCTTCAATAATCCTATATTCATTTTTCCACAAATTATTTGAAGCATACTGAAAGGACTTGCGTATGAACAGAATTGTAATTTACAATCTGGGAGATGGTAAATGTCCCTTTTGATTTTCACTTTTACTTCTGTGGGTAAAAGAAATCTTTTCTGATAAACAGCTGTTAAAAATTAAGTGAGCTTTCAACCCTCCCTTTTCTTATGTCTGTCTGTTAAGTTTCACTATAAACCAGCATTATTATGATTATTATTTTTGAGAAGCATTACAGTCCCATCATGTAGACAAGGTTATGTATTTTGTCTAGTGTAGGGGTAGGCAACCTTGGCTCTTTTATGACTTGTGGACTTCAACTCCCAGAATTCCTGAGCCAGAATAGCTGGCTCATGAATTCTGGGAGTTTAAGTCCACGAGTCATAAAAGAGCCAAGGTTGCCTACCCCTGGTCTAGTGCTTATGATGCTCACCAAGAGATGGTGAGTTCTAGTTCTGCGTTAGCCATGAAAGCTTAGAGTTGTTGCAGTGGGGGAAAGTAGGAGGAAGGAGGAGGATTAAGTATGTTTGCTGCCTCGATTTACTTATATAAATAATAAAGGCAGGGTAAAAATAATTCTAAAAAACTAACAAAGATTTAAAAACAAAAGTAAAAAGACAGCACCACAATTAAGTACACACAAGACACACACTTAAACTTATTTATATGTGTGCCAATGAATGCGCATTCATACACATACTCCTAAACATTCACAGATACATATGCTAATGCCCAGATAATGAGGAGCAGCTGGCCCTTTAAAGAGCAAGCCACTCTCTGATGGAGTACAAGCTGAGAGGGAGTCACCTAATTCCTGAAAGCCAATCAAAGGAAAGAAAGGAGTTCTGTCACAGTTTAGGTGGGAAGACTGTTTGGAGAGGGATTTTTTGAGAGTTGGCTGCAGCCTTAGATGAGGAAAGGATGACCTCAGGCAAGGTTGGAAACAGAGTTGTGCGGCAGTAGCTAGAATTGTGTTACAGTTTTTGATATTTCTATCTCTTTTTCAGTTTGTATAGGCTGTGTGGAAGCTTATCTTCTTTTGGCAACTTTAATGAAGTTGAATTTTCTTTCAGTCCTTGTGTTGACTGGTAACCTTCTAACACTTGCCTTCCTCAGCTTGGCAAAGCTACTTCCAAAAGCTGTGTATTTGGTTTCCCTTTCTGCATGTAGTAGTCAAACCCAGGGCAGGGTGAGGATTTCCCCTTCAGTTGTCTCCTGCTTTCCCAATGGCCTCTTGTGGAAAAAAGTCACTCTGTGCCTCAGGTTACCTCAGAATCTATACCTCAGATGGAAAGGCTGTTTGGATCCTAAGGCTGACTTCATTATTCCATCTATACATAAACTCCATCCCTTCAACCCTTACACCCTTTATGTAGGAGTATA